GATGAAATGTATTTATTCTTCTTGGTCATTACCAAATCCATAGAGCAAAATCCTCAAACACTAAACCTTATTTTCCGTTACTACGAATCAAAATAAATCATTATTTTCATTGTATTCATCACTTATCGTGTAAAAAAGCCGTTACAATAATCAGTCCCCGTCCCCAGATTCTGTCGCTGATGCAGCTTTCATTTAGTTTCCTTTTTTAGGTTTGATCTGTTGCAATTTGTTTTATTTTTTTCCGTTCCCATTGTTTTTTTTCGCACTATGTTATGATGGTGGACGTGCGTTATGTGTTTCTATTGTAAATATGGATCATACTCACATTCAAAAACAACACAAAAAACAACACCGACTCTGTTTTGTGCATTTTAGAGCGTTTTGAGGTGTCCTGCCCGACGTATAAAAGAATCGTTAATATCTCCAGAACTAAAGCGGCACAAACGAAGCACAAACACCTGACGGGCAGGTGCGCGCCTGACGAGGCTGATACGATACAAACCTCGACACAGAGCATTTACAGTGCACTTTTGATTCAAAACGATTCGATATACTTCAAAACAAATCGATACGGTTCAGTGAAAAACAAAGTTAAATCATGGCTGTGGTACTAAAAGTGTACGAAGTCCATGAAGTTAACACGAAAAACTGTTAAAACGTCAACACGACTGTAGCTCTTACTCTAAATAACTTGGTAAAATATACCTAAAAATACTCTCGGCGATATATCGACACAGCAGCCCACGATACCCACACGGTATCACCAAACTGAACGATACGATATATCGACGTAAACGCGTGTCCGGGTGCGCGTGCGTGTGACAGCTCTGACACGTCACTTTAACTCAGTTTGTGTGAATAAGTGTTTCAAACGGCCTCAAACCCGCACAGCTCATCTGTTCTGAGCGGAAACCGGTCCACGTGGTCAAGGTCCGCGTGAGGCCCGGTGCGCGGGTTCGGCTGAGGGTTCGATTCCCCCAGAACAAACGTAAACACAGAAACAGCACAGACGTCACCTGAAGGCCGCTAATGCTGATGCTAATGCTAATGCTAATGCTAATGCTAACGCTAACACTCGACCCAAACATTAGAACAGAGCCGTGAACAGAAGCGTGAGCCGCGGGTTCGTACCGAGCGCCACCCGGCAGGCGGTCCGGAGGGGGCCGTGCTGGCTCCGCTTCAGCTCTTTGTCCGACAGAATCTTCTCCAGAGCCCGCGACAGGAACATGGCTTTGGTTCTGCGGCTCTGGGCCTCGGGCGGCGGGGCGGAGGTGGCGGGAGACCGGGGCTCGGACCGGGGCTCGGACCGGGGCTCGGGCGCGGGAGGCCGGGGCTCGGACCGGGGGACGGGCCGGAGCATGTCTCGGGCTCAGGCCGTCATCCTGGAGCCGGTCCCGGGGTGACGGGAGCTCCGGAGCGCGGGGCGGACACGGGGCCGTGCGGGAGCGGGCGGAGGAGCGCGGCGCTGGGGTCCGGGGTCCTGGGTCCTGGGTTCTGTGGTTCGGTGGTTCGGTGGTTCTGGAGCTCGGTTCTGTCACTGCTCCAGCGCCGCCATGATGCTGACGCGGATCACGTGACTCTCAGCTGAGCGCGTGCGCGAGACGGAAGAATAAATATAAAACAATTAAAAATATATTTAATTTAATAATAATAATAATAATAATAGTAATAATAATAATAATAATAATAATAATAATAATAATAATAATAATAATAATAATAATAATAATAATAATAATAATAATAATAATAATAATAATAAGCTCGTACTTGTTCACAGCCTCCTGACACTCGGCCGTTCATTTGTGTCCTTTCTAGTGGACACTGAGTGAACCTGTTAAGTGTGTTTGAAGTGTTTTCAGAGACTCTTCATGGGGGGACGAGGTTCCTCTGGGGGATCACATGGTTCTATCATGTCCAGTGCGGGTGGATCCTTGGCCGCATCGGAGCGCCGGAAGTTGCCCACGGTGCACCGCGACTTCATTTTTTTACGAACGTTATTTAAGCAGTGAAATTACATTTTAATAAAAAAAATAAAAAATCATTTTACAAATAAGGAATAACAGGAAAAATAGCTCCTCGTAATTCTTTAAGCGTCGGAGCTCCTCCTCCTCTTCTTCTTCCTCCTCTTCTTCTTCACTGTGGTTCAGTTCTGCGTGAGGAACAAACCTGGGAACTCCACCACCCACCTACACCTACACCACCCACCTCACCTACACCACCCACCACACCTACACCACCCACCTACACCACCCACCTACACACCTACACCACCCACCTACACACCACCTACACACCACCTACACCCCACCACACCTACACCACCCCACCACCTACACCACCCACCTACCCACCACCCACACACCTCACCTACACCACCCACCTCACCTACACCTACACCACCCACCTCACCTACACCACCTACACCACCACCTCACCACACCCACCTACACCACCCACCACCCACCTACACACCCACCTACACCACCCACCTACACCACCCACCTACACACCTACACCACCCACCTCACCTACACCACCACCTCACCACTACACACCACCTACACCTACACCACCCACCTCACCTACACCACCCACCCACCTACACACCACCCACCCTCACCTACACACCACCCACCTACACCACCACCCTCACCTACACCACCACACCTACACCACCTACACCTACCACCACCTACACCTACACCACCCACCTACACCTACACCACCCACCTACACCACCCACCTACACCTACACCACCCACCACCTCACCACCTCACCACCACCACACCTCACCTACACACCCACCTACACCACCCACCTACACCACCCACCTACACCTACACCACCCACCTACCTACACCACCCCACCTACACCTACACCACCACCTACCACCACCTCACCTACACCACCTCACCTACACCACCCACCTACACCACCCACCCCCACCTACACCACCCACCTACACCACCCACCACCCACTACACCACCACCCACCTACACCACCCACCTACACCACCACACCCACCTACACCTACACCACCCACCTACACCACCCACCCACCTACACCACCCACCTACATACACCACCTACACCACCACACCCACCTCACCTACACCACACCACCACACCTACCCACCTACACCACCCGCCTCTGGGACGATCTTTATTAAGGAGGCGCTGTGAAAAATGTTTCTTTGTGAGATAATAAATTATCTTTCTCAGAAAAAATAATGCAAACAAACCTTTTTTCATAATTTTGTTAATAGTTGAAATTTCTCCAAGGTTTAACGACACTTTTCCAGCAAATCATCTCAAACAAATCATCTCCAACCGTCTCCTCTTATAACAAGCAGTTAGTGTTTAATCTCTTAAAGGGAATTAATAGAATAGAAACCAAATGTGAGATTTTGGGACCAGAGCCACAAACTTAATAAAGACACACAATATTTGACAACAGATTCAGAATCTCTGACCAAGAATCTACAATAAAACAAATGTACAAATGTTCCGAGCTCGATTTTGATGAAGTTCTGGTCTCAAACATGATTAGAAATGAAGGTTTCTGAAAAAGTGAACATGGCCCCAAAATCTCAACGAGCCAAAACTCAGGAACGACTCAAGGGACTGAGCTAAAACTTTAGATTCTTTTATTTGATCATTTTAGATTTTTTTTTTTTTTCAGCCAAATCTGAGCTGCTCATGGGGAGATTCACTGAAAACAGCTGATTTCATTTGGACAAACTCAAATGCATCAAGGAACTTTAGAAATGAGACACAAACAGACGAAGGGCTGAAACAGACAAAGCGTCTTGAACCTGAACAGGTGAAGCACTAAATGTGGTTCATCAGATTTGAGAGAAGCTCTGAAGTCGTCTCTGAATGAGCCTGAATATTAGAAGCTCTTTTGTTCTTTTGCTCTTTTACATTTCATCCATGAGTTATTCACGTTTGTTGATTCAGAAAAGTCATTTTCTCTCTAACAGGAGCTTGTCTCATTTCTCCAAGTAAAATAATCTTAACTGAAGTCATTTGCCCTGTGTGGATCCAGTTGGACCTGCTCCCGTTCCACAGGTCATGTGATTAACTGTAACTGGACTGAAAGGTTTGATTTTATTTTGGTGAAATCTTTGAGGCTGGACAGAGTGAAAGAGACAGACACACTGCAGCTCGTCTCATCACTACAGACTCGGAGATTCTGTGCAGATTTTCTTCAGTTTTATTCCCAGTTGTTTGGATTCAAAATTAGAGTCTGTTTTTCTCCCAGTTTAAATGACACGTCTTTGTTTGCAAGATTCATTTAACAGAATCAAATTCATATGAATAAAAAATGGAGAAACATTTGTGGCTGAAAGTTTTTGTGTCTGAAAACTTGAAACGTTTTGAAAATCGAAGTACAAGACTTGGACTCGACTCGGACTTGAGGCCAGAGACTTGGACTCGACTCAGACTTGAGGCCAGAGACTTGGACTCGACTCGGACTTGAGACCAGAGACTTGGACTCGACTCGGACTTGAGGCCAGGGACTTGGACTCGACTCGGACTTGAGGCCAGAGACTTGGACTCGACTCAGACTTGAGGCCAGAGACTTGGACTTGACTCGGACTTGAGGCCAGAGACTTGGGACTCGACTTGAGACTTGGTCCCACCTCTGAACAGTTATTTCGTTATTTAATTTGTAATTTAATCATTTTTGAACAACTGAACCAGTTTTAGAGTTTTACAGTTGAAAAGGTTGAAGTTTTAGTCAAACTGGTTTGTGAGGAAAGAAGCAGTTTGTCGCCCTCATGTGGCTAAAAGCACCAACTGCACAAAACCACCAAAACACTTGTAATTCTAAACTTTGACCACCAGAGGGAGCGTGAAACACTTCAATCTGTATTTTTCTCTGCGTAATTTAAACTAAAATATCTGTTCAGTTTATAATGATCTGGTTATACCCGTCACCAGAGGGCGCTCTAGAGTCTCAGGTCAGAGGGGCTGTTTTGATGTCACACTTTTATTTTTCTTACGTTCATCTTTTATTTGTCTTAAATAAACCGCTGGAGCGTGTGTGTGTGTGGTTCTGTGGAGTTTATTCCAGCCGTGATCACAGTTTACACACATTTACATCTTTTACATTTCAACTTTTACAGTCGTACAAAACATCGTTAAGAAAATACTGACATCTCCATAAAAATATTCACAAGAAAAAATCAACAACAACAAATGAAAAGAATCTGAAAAAGAGTTTAGAGCATCAAGCACACAGGACCTGTCACACACGTGTGTCAGGTGCCCTCCTGTGTGTCTGGGCTCTGAAGTGTGACTCGTTTCTTCAGATTTTCAGTCTTTGTTGATTTTTCTGGAAGTGTTTAAAAAGTGAAATTGAACAGAATCGTATTAAAAACACAAATATTTCACAGTAAATGAAAAGTACCGTTTGTTAAATTGAAATGCAGATTCGACATAAAAACATCGTTTACATAAAAAAATCATCAGAATAAATTACACTGTTGCCGTGGTTACAATCCCAATGTCCCACAATAGAAACGCACAAAATAAATAAACATCCAAATGATTCAGAACTGACGAAGACAGAACCTCCAGACCCGGTTTAGTCCTGGTTTAGACCTGGTTTAGTCCTGGTTTAGACCTGGTTTAGACCTGGTTTAGACCTGGTTTAGACCCGGTTTAGACCTGGTTTAGACCTGGTTTAGACCTGGTTTAGTCCTGGTTTAGACCCGGTTTAGACCCGGTTTAGACCCGGTTTAGTCCTGGTTTAGACCCGGTTTAGTCCTGGTTTAGACCCGGTTTAGACCCGGTTTAGTCCTGGTTTAGACCAGGTTTAGTCCTGGTTTAGTCCTGGTTTGGTCTCCGGACTTTCAGGAGGATGTGATGTGAGTTTTGCTCTGAAGAAGACGAGAAGTGCTTTTCAAAATCAATAATTGATTTTAAATGAGCGGAAATAAGATCCTGGACCAGACCCGGACCAGACCTGGACCTACAGTCTCACAGAGAAACACAGACCTGAGCTGCCTCAGGTCATTTGAATAAAAATCATAAAATATCTGAAACTCTGAGACTCGTGAGGATTTTTAGTTTTTTTCGTTTCGTGACTAAAACTCGTCTGGTTTATTCAAATCTCAGGATAATTATTCATCTGAGCCCAGAACCTTCCTGCTCCGAGTCCCAAACACGAGCAAACAAGACCAAGGACTGAACCAGGACTGAACCAGGACTGAACCAGGACTTGAGTTGGAGGCCCGTTTCACACAGTCTTGTCACACATGTGGTCATTATTATTAAATTGGTCCAACAGAAATTGAAATGTATAAAACATAAAATCAAAGCGAAAGAAAAAAAACGAGAAACTGAAACCTCAACACGAAAACCAACCTGACACACACAGAGGGACCTGACACACACAGAGGGACCTGACACACACAGAGGGACCTGACACACACACACAGAGGGACCTGACACACACAGAGGGACCTGACACACACAGAGGGACCTGACACACACAGAGGGACCTGACACACACAGAGGGACCTGACACACACACAGAGGGACCTGACACACACACACAGAGGGACCTGACACACACACACAGAGGGACTGACACACACAGAGGGACCTGACACACACAGAGGGACCTGACACACACACAGAGGGACCTGACACACACAGAGGGACCTGACACACACAGAGGGACCTGACACACACACACACAGAGGGACCTGACACACACACAGAGGGACCTGACACACACAGAGGGACCTGACACACACAGAGGGACCTGACACACACAGAGGGACCTGACACACACAGAGGACACACAGAGGACCTGACACACACACACACACAGAGGGACCTGACACACACACACACAGAGGGACCTGACACACACACACACACACACAGAGGGACCTGACACACACAGAGGGACCTGACACACACAGAGGGACCTGACACACACACAGAGGGACCTGACACACACAGAGGGACCTGACACACACAGAGGGACCTGACACACACACACGGGGAGGGACCTGACACACACGGGGAGGGACCTGACACACACAGAGGGACCTGACACACACACAGAGGGACCTGACACACACACAGAGGGACCTGACACACACAGAGGGACCTGACACACACACAGAGGGACCTGACACACACAGAGGGACCTGACACACACGGGGAGGGACCTGACACACACAGAGGGACCTGACACACACAGAGGGACCTGACACACACGGGGAGGGACCTGACACACACAGAGGGACCTGACACACACGGGGAGGGACCTGACACACAGAGGGACCTGACACACACGGGGAGGGACCTGACACATACAGAGGGACCTGACACACACGGGGAGGGACCTGACACACACGGGGAGGGACCTGACACACATGTGTGTTTTTGTGTTTGAGGATTAAAGTTTCATCATTTTTATAATTGAACTCGTCTTCAGGTTTCTCCAGTGCCTCAAATACAAAATGTGAGTGAAAATAAACCCTGATGAACCTGCTCCTGTCGCCCCTGTCGCTCCTGTCGCCCCTGTCGCTCCTGTCGCCCCTGTCGCCCCTGTCGCTCCTGTCGCCCCTGTCGCTCCTGTCGCTCCTGTCGCCCCTGTCGCTCCTGTCGCCCCTGTCGCTCCTGTCGCCCCTGTCGCTCCTGTCGCTCCTGTCGCTCGCCCCTGTCGCCCCTGTCGCCCCTGTCGCTCCTGTCGCCCTGTCGCTCCTGTCGCTCCTGTCGCCCCTGTCGCTCCTGTCGCTCCTGTCGCTCCTGTCGCTCCTGTCGCCCCTGTCGCCCCTGTCGCTCCTGTCGCCCCTGTCGCTCCTGTCGCTCCTGTCGCTCCTGTCGCTCCTGTCGCCTGCACCTGACCCTGAGCAGTTTGTTGTTTTTGTGGTTATTGTTTCAGTTTCATCGTTGAGATCGACTCACGTCTGGAGTTTAAAATCCAGAGGAAGCCAGCGCCGATAAACTGCCGATATTTCTGAACCGATATTTCTGGACCGATTTCTATTATTTTCCCCAAATTCTGTCATTTAAATTTAGCACAAACTTTTCAGAGTCCTGCGGTCACGGTTTTGGGAGTTTTCTTCAAATAAAACTTTTTGTTCAGGTCCAAACCAAATATCAACGCTCGAGATTTAAGGACGATCGCAGATTCGCCAAAAAGTGCAAATATCAGTGCGATATATCGGTCGGTCTCTAATTTATTGCATCTGAAATAATCATTTTAGTCAAGTTGAGGAGAATTTTGAGTTGAAATGAGTTCGATGTGTCATTTACATAAACTGCTGCTCCAGGTGTGGGCGGGGCCACGGCTCCTCACAGGTGTCGGTGGCAGGTGTCGGTGGCAGGTGTCGGTCCGGTCGATGTGTTTGGCGTCTCAGAGCGTGATCACCGTCCCCTCTTCCTCCAGGCTCCGCCTCTCTGGCGCTCTGCGGGGGGAGGAGCCGTTCGTCGTCGTCGCGGTTAAACTGTCGAGGCTGGCGCTGGCGGCGAGGGACCCGTTGGAGAGGGCGGGGTCGGAGGTGGCGGAGAGGGCGGGGTCGGAGGTGGCGGAGGTGACGGGGTCTCGGCGCAGGCGCAGGTGCGGTTCGTATCGGGGGATGTCGGGTTCTTCTTCGGCTCCGGCCTCGATCACCAGGTCCTCGTCTTCGTCGCTCTCCATTTCGCCCGCGGGGAAGTTCTGGATGATGTGGGCGGGGCCGGAGTCGACCGCGCCGCCGCCGTACCCGGCGTAACCGTAGAAACTGGCGCCGCTGTCGGAGGAGCGGCCCGAGCTGCCGGACGCCGCCCCGGCCTCTCGACTCCGCACCACGTTGTTCCTCTGATTGGCCGGTTTCACCGTGATGATCAAATTATGACTGTTGGCGATCATCATGTCCGTCACCTGAAACACACACGTGTGTGTTGAAACGCACAACAGACACATGACACACACACACACACGACACACACAACAAACACACAACAGACACACAACTGACACACGACACACACAAGAAACACACAACAGACACACATCTCACACACGACACACACAAGACACACACACACACAACTGACACACGACACACACACACACAATTGACACACGACACACACACACAACAGACACACAACTGACACATGACACACACAAGAAACACACAACTGACACACACACACACACACACACACGACACACACACACACAACAAGACACACAACTGACACTCAACTGACACACGACACACACAAGAAACACACAAGAAACACACAAAAGACACACGACACACACAACTGACGCACAAGAAACAGACACCTGGCCCAGTCGTTCAGTTATAGACAACAACTGTGTGCGGTCGCGCGCGTGCGGTCGTGTGTGTGTGGTCCTGAGATTGTGTGCGTGCGGTCGTGGTCGTGCAGGTCGTGTGCGTGCGGTCGCGCGGGTGCGGTCGTGTGTGTGTGGTAATGCGGTCGTGTGTGTGTGGTCCTGAGGTCGTGTGTGTGTGGTCGTGCGGTCGTGTGCGTGCGGTCGTGTGCGTGCGGTCGCGTCGTGTGCGTGCGGTCGCGCGGTGGTCGTGCGGTCACGCGCGTGCGGTCGTGTGTGTGTGTGGTCCTGAGGTCGTGGTCGCGTGCGGTCGTGTGCGTGCGGTCCTGTGCGTCGTGTGCGTGCGGTCGTGTGCGTGCGGTCGTGTGCGTGTGGTCCTGAGGTCGTGTGCGTGCGGTCGCGCGCGTGCGGTCGTGTGTGTGTGGTCCTGAGGTCGTGGTCGGTCGAGGTCGTGTGCGTGCGGTTGCGGTCGTGTGCGTGCGGTCGCGGTCGTGTGCGGTCGCGTGCGTGTGTGCGTCGCGGGCCGTACCTGGTCGAGGCTCTTGCCCGTCACCTCGATGCCGTTGACCTCCAGCACCTCGTCGTTGACGGCCAGCAGCCCCGTGCTCTCGGCGAGGCCCCCGGGGACCATCCTGGAGATGAAGATGCCCGGGAGCTTCTGGAGGCCCTGGGCCGTGA